CCCTGCACTTCAGCTGTGTGTAATGAAAAGGGTTGGGATGAGTCAGGGAAAGCTAGTGTGGGAGCAGTCTCTACAGCTGTCTTCAAGGAACAGAAAGAGGAGTGGGGAAAGGATTTAGGATCTATGGGCTCAGGTAGGTTTCCTTTTGTGAGTTTACATAATGGTTTTGTTAGGATGGCAAAACCAGGTATCCAAAGGTGAAAGTATCCAACCACGCCCAGGAAGGAAAGGAGTTGTTTTTTAGAAGGGGTTGGTGTTTGAGAGATCAGTCAGACATGATTGGCAGGGACAGCACGTGTGTTTTTATGAAGAATTATGCCAAGATAGATAATGGATGAGGAAGAAATTTGGGTTTGACTGGAGTAATGGGGGCTGTCTGTGAAGTCTCGTGGCAGTACAGCCCAGGTAAGTTGTTGAGGCTGATGGGTGTCAGGATCACTCGAAGTGAAAGTGAAGAGATGTTGGGATAAAGGGTGCAAAGGAATAGTAAAGAAAGCATGTTTGAGATCCAGAACAGAATAATGGGTTATGGAGGGGTTGTGGAGGGAGGTATTGAGGATAGGAGAGTATACAGCTTTGGCATCACGGGGTGGATAGGCAAGACAATTTGGTTGATAAGGTGCAGATCCTGAACTAACCTGTAAGGCTTGTCTGGTTTTTGGACAGGTAAAATGGGGGAATTGTAAGGAGAGTTTATAGGTTTTAAAAGGCCATGCTGTAACAGGCAAGTGATAACAGGCTTTAATCCTTTTAAAGTGTGCTGTGGGATGGGATATTGGTGTTGAGCCGGGTAAGGGTGATTAGGTTTTAATGGGATGGTAAGGGGTGCATGACTGGTCACCAAGGAGGGAGTAGAGGTGTCCTATACTTGTGGATTAAGGTGGGGAGGTACAAGGGGAGGGCGTGAAGGAGGTTTTGAACTGGGGGAAAGGGTGGCAGTGAGGTGTGGCTATAGCCTAGAAATAGTTGGGGAAGCAGATAATTTAGTTAAAATGCCTAGACCTAATAAGGGAACTGGGTAGGTGGGGATAACTAAAAAGGAGTGCATAAAAGAATATTGTCCAAATTGGCACCAGAGTTGGGGAGTTTTAAGAGGTTTAGAAGCCTGGCCGTCAATACCCACAACAGTTATGGAGGCAAGGGAAACAGGCCCTTGAAAAGAAGGTAATGTGGAGTGGGTAGCCACCGTATCGATTAAGCAGGGGATGGACTTACCTTTCACTGTGAGAGTTACCCAAAGCTCAGCATCCGTGATGGTCCAGGGGGCTTCCAAGGCAATCAGGCAGCATCAATCTTCAGCTGCGAAGCCAAGCAGATCTGGGAAGGAGTCAGTCAGAGAGCCTTGGGGTAGAGCTTTAGGGGCTCTAGGGATGGCTGCCAGGCGAGCTGGGCCGTCTGATTTCCAGTGGGTCCCTGCACAGATGGGACACGGCTTGGGAGGAATCCCAGGCTGTGGGCATTCCTTGGCCCAGTGGCCATATTTCAGGCACTTGAAGCAAGATCCTGATGAAGAAGGTCCTGTAGGAATGCTTGACTGCTGCGGCTTAGGAGTGTTCAGCTTAGGCATTTTGAAATTCTTATGTGCTGGAGGTACGGCTGGGTTTTGTCTCACAGCAGAGGCAAGTAATTGTGACTCAGAAATGCGTTGCTGTCTGGCTGCCTCCTCTCTATTATTGTACACCTTGAAGGTGAGGTTGATTAATTCCTGTTGTGGGGTTTGAAGGCTGGATTCTACTTTTTGAAGGTTTTTCCTAATGTCAGGAGTTGACTGGGTGATAAAAGGCATATTTAGAATGAGACAGCCTTCTGACCCTTCAGGATCTAGGACTGTCAAGCATCTCAGGATTGCTGTGAAATGAGCCATGAACTGGGCTGGGTTTTCGTCTTTACCTTGGTTAGTTTCTTTAAGCTTCTCATAATTAACAGCTTTGTAAGCTGCCTTTTTAAGCCCTTCAACTAGGCAATAAATCATGTAATCTCGCCTAGCTATACTTGGGGAATCTGCCTGATAGTTCCACTGGGGATCCTCTCGGGGAGCTGCTCTAATGCGTTCCTGGAGGTCTGGCAGGAGTCAGCAGTTGTCAGCGTGAGACTGGGCCAGAGAAAAAACTCTTTCCCATTCATCTGGGGAGAGGGTAGAAGTTAAGATGACATTTAAGTCACTCCAGGTTAAATTGTAGGACAGAGTAAGACATAGGAATTCCTGTACATATTTAGTGGGGTCTGATGAGAAAGAGCCTAAACGCTGACAGATCTGAGAGAGGTCTGATAGAGAAAAAAGCACATGGACCCTGACTATGCCTTCAGCTCCAGCCACCTCTCTAAGAGGAAATTTTTGGGCAGGTGGGAAAGAGCTAGTCGTGGAACCAAACTGTAAGCTGGACCGGGTGTGGGGAGTGGGGGTGATAGAAGGATTATAGGGTGGAGGAGTGGAGGCTGAGGAAGAATTAGGACCTGGCTCAGCCTGGAGAGGAGCAGCCTGGGGAGGAGGGGAGAGGTCAGATGGGTCTGTAGAAAAGGAAGATTGGAAAGACTCAGCAACGCTTGAGGTTGGGACTGAGGGGACAGGCGAGAGGGAAAGAAGGAGGATTTGGGCAGAATCGCAATGGGAACAGAGAACAGGGAGGGAACGAAGTGTGAAAAATGCCTGGATGTAAGGCACCTCAGACCACTTGCCCATTTTTCGACAAAAATTATCTAGGTCTCATAGGATGGAGAGATGGAAAGTGTCGTTTTCTGTCCATTTAGAGCCATGATGTAGTTTGTATTGGGGCCAAGCAATGTTGCAGAAGAAAATAAGACGTTCAGGTTTTAGAAAATAAGGCGTTCAGGTATGAGTTGAAGAGGTTTTAAGTTTTTGAGAACACAGGCTAAGGGAGAAGAGGCAGGAATGGAGGGTAGAAGGTTGCCCATAGTGAAGGAGGCAAGCCCAGAGAAAAGAGAGGGTAGAGACACGGAGAGAAGGGGTGGGTAGAGACACGGAGAGAAGGGGTGGGGGATGCGTGCCCCCCAGGAAAGTGGAAAAGGGGTGGGGGGTGCTTGTCCCCCTAGAAAGCGGAGAGAAAAGAGAGGGTAGAGACAGGGAGAGAACGGGCAGGGGGTGCTTGCCCCCCTAAAAGTGGTGCTTGCCACTAAGGGTGAAGGATCAAGGCAGGTGTTCCCATGGTGATCCAACACTTCTGAAACATGGGTGAATAATCATGCAGGCGTCCCTGCAGTGATTAAACACCAAGGGAAAACTGTCTTCCCGAGTCTGTGACCAGCGCCAGAATTTGGGGTTCAGGGATAAAACGCATCTCCCCTGTCTCTACCAGAAAAGGAAAGGAGCTGAAATTAAGAGAAGGGAGAGATTGAAAGATGGCCCTAAGATTGATAGGAGAAAGAGACTGAGGGATAGTGTGAGAGGTTGGAGAAGAGAGTAAAAAGAGGCCACTTACCGGATTTAAAATTGGTGAGATGTTCCTTGGGCTGCTTGGTCTGAGGACCTGAGGTCGTAGGTGGATCTTTCTCACGGAGCAAAGAGCAGGAAGATAGGGGATTGACCTCCCAAGGGAGGTCCCCTGATCCGAGTCATGGCACCAAATTTCATGTGCATCCCTGTGAAGAGACCACCAAACAGGCTTTGTGTAAGCAATAAAGCTTTTTGATCAACTGGGTGCAGGCAGACTGAGTCTGAAAAGACAGTCAGCGAAAGCAGATAGGGGTGGGGCTGTTTTATAGGATTTGGGTAGGTAGTGGAAAATTACAGTCAAAGGGGGTTGTTCTCTGGCCGGCAGGGGTGGGGGTCACTAGGTGCTCAGTGGGGGAGCCTTTGAGCCAGGATGTGCCAGGAGAAGGAACTCCACAAGGCAATGTCATCAGTTAAGGCAAGAACCAGTCATTTTCACTTCCCTTGTGACTCTTCACTTGCTTCAGGCCATCTGGATGAATACGTGCAGGCTTGGGCTCAGAGGCCTGGCAAATGGCCTCCTAATGATTTTTTTAAAAAAGGGTTACAAAAATACCCAGTGTCCCAATAAAATACGCACACTGCCTAGATGTGCATAGTTCTGGAAAACAGGCAGTGCTTGAGCGTCCTTGAAGAGCATTGGGTCTGCATGGAGCACTTGCAGCTTTGAGGTGATGACTACAGGCTCCCGGTTGCAATAGACAGTAACAAACTCTGCTTCTTTTATTCAGGAGTTCTGGACTCATACAGGGAAACTCGGACTAGAGAAGGAAGATAACTTTAAATTCAACAACCCAGAGTCACAGATTCACAGTCTAGGAAAGTAAAACAGGAGCTTTGAGGGTTTAATTGTAATGCTGTTTTGACACAGGTCTTTTACAGACTGGAATTCTAATCATTCAGGGATTATCAATATTGTGCTACCTACTGTATTAATAAACAAAAAGTAAACTGGTCTCTATGAGAATCTCTGTGTGGTGCCTTCAGACAAAACTTCACCAGGTTTAGAGAGAAAACCCCTGTCTCTACATCTCCATTCCCAGGGCGAGCTCACTCTGGCATCAAGTTCCCGGTGGTGAGTTTTCCTGTACAAAGATCCAAGGGGAGAGGTAGGAGAGGGAGGCAGGGAGTCCAGTTCAGGGACAGGGATTCCAGGACGAGCAGTGAAGGGGAAGGATCTGGGCGCAGCCTGGTGGTCTCTTCCTGGTTTCCATAGACAGATCCTTGGCCAGGAATTAGGCAGACAGTGTGACAAAGAGGCTTGGTGTAGGAGAAGAGGGATCAGGACAAAGTCCCAGGTCCCGCGCGTGGCTCTCAGGGTCTCAGGCTCCCAGAGCCGGGTCTGGATTGGGGAGGCACAGCGTTGAGGATTCTCCACTCCTCTGAGTTTAACTTCTTTTCCCAACCTGTGTCCTTCTTCCAGGATAATCAGGACACGTCCCCAGCTGCCACTCCCACTGACTGTCGGGTTTCTAGAGAAGCCAATCAGTGTCGTCCCGGTCCTGGTTCTAAAGTCCTCAGTCAACCACCGGGACTCAGATTCTCCCCAGAAGCCAAAGATGCGGTCATGGTGCCCCAAACCCTCCTCCTGCTACTCTCGGGGGCCCTGGCCCTGACCGAGACCTGGGTGGGTGAGTGCCGGGTCGGGAGGGAAACAGCCTCTGCAGGGAGGAGGAGGGGACCAAGCGCCCGGATGGGGCGCAGGACGCGGGGAGCCGCGCAGGGAGGAGGGTCGGTGGGGGGCCTCAGCCTCTCCTTGCCCCCAGGCTCCCACTCCTTGAGGTATTTCAGCACCGCTGTCTCCCGGCCCGGCCGCGGGGAGCCCTGGTACCTCGAAGTCGGCTACGTGGACGACACGCGGTTCGTGCGGTTCGACAGCGACGCCGCGAGTCCGAGGATGGAGCCGCGGGCGCCGTGGATGGAGCAGGAAGGGCCGGAGTATTGGGACCGGAACACACGGAACGCCAAGGTCAACGCAGAGACTTTCCGAGGGGACTTGAGGAACCTGCTCCGTTACTACAACCAGAGCGAGGCAGGTGAGTGACCCCGGCCTGGGGCGCGGATCAGGACCTCTCCCCATCCCCCACGGACGGCCCGAGTTCCCCGGAGTCTTTGGGTCGGAGATCCACCCTGAGGCTGCGGGACCCGCCCAGACCCAGGATCCAGGAGAGGATGTGTTTGAAGGTCTGATTCCAACTTTTCTGAGTCCCTCGGCCTCCACTCAGGTCAGAACCAGAAATCGTTGTTCCCCCCTCAGAGACTAGAACTTTCCAAGGAATAGGAGATTATCCCAGGTGCCTGTGTCCAGGCTGGTGTCTGGCTTCTGTGCTCCCTTCCCCACCCCAGGTTTCCTGTCCATTCTTAGGATGGTCACATGGGTGCTACTGGAGTGTCCCATGAGAGATGCAAACTGCCTGAATTTTCTGACTTTTCCCGTCAGACCCCCCAAAGACACACGTGGCCCACCACCCCGTCTCTGACCAAGAGGCCACCCTGAGGTGCTGGGCCCTGGGCTTCTACCCTGCGGAGATCACACTGACCTGGCAGCGGGATGGGGAGGAGCAAACTCAGGACACCGAGCTTGTGGAGACCAGGCCAGCAGGGGATGGAACCTTCCAGAAGTGGACAGCTATGGTGGTGCCTTCTGGAGAAGAGCAGAGATACACGTGCCATGTGCAGCACAAGGGGTTGCTGGAGCCCCTCACCCTGAGATGGGGTAAGGAGGGGGATTGAGGGGGTCATATGTCTTTCAGAGAAAGCAGGAACCCTTCTGGAGCCCTTTAGCAGGGTCAGGGCCCCTCATCTTCCCCTCCTTTCCCAGAGCCATCTTCCCAATCCACCATCCCCATTGTGGGCATCATTGCTGGCCTGGCTGTCCTAGGAGCTGTGGTCGCTGCTGTGATGTGGAAGAGGAAGAGCTTAGGTAGGGAAGGGTTGAGTGGTGGGGTCTGGGTTTTCTTGTCCCACTGGGGGTTTCAAGCCCCAGGTAGAAGTGTTTCCTGCCTCATTACTGGGAAGCAGCATCCACACAGTGGCTAACCCAGCCTGGGGCCTGTGTGCCAGCACCTACTCTTTTGTGAAGCACATGTGACAATGAAGGACAATGTATCACCTTGATGATTATGGTGTTGGGGTCCTGATTCCAGCATTCACGAGTCAGGGGAAGGTTCCTGCTAAGGACAGGCCTTAGGAGGGCAGTTGGTCCAGGACCCACACCTGCTTTCCTCGTGTTTGCTTATCCTGCCCTGGGTCTGCAGTCATAGTTCTGGAAACTTCTCTTGGGTTTAAGACTAGAAGGTTCCTCTAAGATCTCATGGCCCTGCCTCCTCCCTGTCGCCTCACAGGACATTTTCTTCACACAAGGGGAAAAAGAGGGAGCTACTCTCAGGCTGCATGTAAGTGGTGGGGGTGGGAGTGTGGAGGAGCTCACCCATTCCATAATTCCTCCTGTCCCACATCTCCTGTGGGCTCTGACCAGGTCCTCTTTTTGTTTTACCCCAGGTAGCAACAGTGCCCAGAGCTCTTGTGTGTCTCTCATGGATTCTAAAGGTGAGACCCTGGGGGGTCTGAAGTCAGTGGGGGATGAGGCAGAGGGAACATGACTGGGTTATGGGGATTCTTTGATTGGGACGTTTTGAGAGTGTGGTGGGCTCTTCAGAGACTGACTGACTTGAATTTGTTCATGACTGTTGTCTTCTGTAGGCTGAGAAAGCTGCCTTACATGGGACTGAGATGCAGGATTTCTTCACATCTCCCCTTTGTTACTTCAAGAGCCTCTGGCATCTCTTTCTGCGAAGGCATCTGAATGTGCCTGCCTCCCTGTCAGCATAATGTGAGGAGGTGGAGAGACTGCTCACCCCCGTGTCCACCGTGACCCGTGTCCCCACGCTGACCTGTGTTCCCTCCCCAGTCATCCTTCCTGTTCCAGAGAGTTGGGGCTGGATGTCTCCACCTCTGTCTCAACTTCATGGTGCACTGAGCTGCCACCTCTTACTTCCCTACTGAAAATGAGAATCTGAATAGAAATTTGTTTTCTCAAATATTTTCCATGAGAGGTTGATGGGTTAATTAAATAAGTCAATTCCTAGAACTTGAGAGAGGAAATAAAGACCTGAGAACCTTCCAGAATCCGTGTGTTCGCTGTGCTGAGTTTGTTGCAGGTGGGGGTGGAGAAGGCTGTGAGGAGCCAAGTGTAGATGGGGCCTGTGTCCAGTTGTTGTTCAGTCCATCAGGGGCTTTATGTGGTCAGTCCTCAGCTGGGTGACCTTCACTGTTCCATTGTTCTTGTCCCTTCAGTGGAAACTTGTCCAGCAGAGCTGTGACCACAGAGCCTCATACATCACCCAGGGTGGCCCCTGCATACCGGAGTCTCTGTGCATTCTGAGATAAGTTTTCAGACCCATTCAGCTCCTGCCCTCCTTCTAAGGCTCCTCTTCTGCTCTGATCTCCTGCCCTCTCTCCGTGCCCTTGTTCCAGTGATCTTGGTGCTGGCTCCAATATCAACTCATGAATCTAAAGCATAATCTAATTTAGATTTATATTTGTTTGTGAAATTGGACCCATCATCAAGGACTGTTCTTTCCTGAAGAGAGAAACCTGATTGTGTGCTGCAGTGTGCAGGTGGGGAGAGGGGGTTGGTGTGGGAGGAGGGATGGGGGAGGGAGAACACACAAGCAGCACTGTTGAGAAAAGCACAGGCGGCCTCAGTGTCAATGTGAGGGGACCTTGTGCCGTAGCTGCCACAAAACAGCATTTGGCCTGAGGCTATGTTAATAATAAAGATATTGCCTTTAGAATAGGGAGGTGCTCTACAGCGATCGTTCATTCAACTGACCTTTGTTTTCTGACAGACATAGGACAGAGTGGTTCTGCATCTGGAGAACATCACTGAAGTAAAATGAGAAAAATCTCTGACCTTGTGGAGCATGTGTTCCAGTGGGAAGACGCAGACGATAGATACCCGATAACCAGAGCAAGGAAAGAAAGTGCTAGAAGGTGTTAAGTGCTGTGAGGCATGTGATCCAGGGTGTGGGCAGTGGGGACAGGGAAGGTGGCTGTTGTGCTGGGTGGTCAGTGTGTGTCTTGTTGCAAAGGTGACCTTTGAGGAAAGAGTTGAGGGACATGAGGAGTTGTCCATGAGGATGTCTGCGGAAGTTCTTTCCAGACAGAGGATCCTCCAGTTCAAATGTACTGGGGCAGGAAGGTGTCTGTGTTCCCAGAAGAGCAAGGAGGCCAGGAGGGCTGGACAGAGAGAAACTGGGATGAGGTCAGAGGTGTGGTCAGAGCAGGTGGGCCAGGAGGGAGTGGGGAAGCAGCTGACCTCTGCTCTGAGTGAGATGGAAAGGTAGAGGACAGTTTTGAGCAGAAGCGGGACATGATATGACTTCTCTTTTAAAAGGATCTTTGACTGCTGTGTTGAGAACAGAATTGAGAGGTGAGGGACAAGGGAGGCAGAAGGGAAAACAGTAGGAAGCGAGTGCAGTATTCCAGGCTGGAGATGTCGGTGACCTTGACTGGGGTGTGAGCAGGGGAAATAGTGGGATGTGAGGGGATTCTGGTCGCATTTGAAGATGGAGTTACAGCATTTGACAATGGATTGTATCTGTGGTATTTGAAAGACAAATCAAGGACACCCATTGTTATAAAATGAGTGAGTAGAAGGAAGGGTGGAGCTGCTGTCAGTGGAGATGGGGAGACTCTGGCAGGAGCATACTGAGGAGGGGGCATCACAGGCACTCAGTGGAGGAGATGTCTACTAGGAATGCAGGTGAGGGAGCTGGGTTGGAATTTAGACAGACAACTCCAGAGTTTAGCGGAAAGGAGAAATAGACTGGGCAGGAGAAATAGATTTAGGAGGTCACATCATATATAAATGATAAAAAAACCTCAAACATGGATGAGGGCACCAAGGGAGTGATTGACTGTGGAAAAGAATGAGGGCAAGGACTGAACCCTGTACCTCCAGTTCTAAGGGATGTGATCAGACCACACCCAGAGCAGACTGCACAGTTCTGACCCCATGTCTATAGGACACTAGACAAGGAACTTCCATGTCCACAGGGATCACCTGGACATGGTGCTGAGATCCAGGAAGTCTGGAGTGGAGCAAGAGATTCTTGATTTATAACAGGGCTGGAGCTCATGTTGCTGGTCTCCAGATCAAGAACACCAGGATCCCACATGCCTGAGCATCAGTCTCACCTGTAGCACTTGTTATATAAGTGATTCCTTGGTCTTGTGCGTAATACTCTGAGACAGACATTCTGGGAAACGGCCTGCATATTTTCTAAGCCCCACCAGCCATCCTGTTGCTCAGCCAGATTGGGAACCACTGAGATCAGAGATCAGAGAGTGGCCAGGGTGGGTGGGTGGGGTGGGTTTTCAAACCTTGTCTAAAAGAGGATTTTTCTTGCAAAAGAAAAGGGAGGATGTGTATCATCAGTTATGAGATGTGATATTCCCTGTTGTTCTCTCCACCATGGGGTAGAGGCCAGGTACACAATTCAGGATGTGGCTCTCGCACAAAGAACCCCCTGAATGCCGCGCTCTCTGACACCCGCCCACAGACTCATTTCTCACTCACTTCTTGGAGCAAACTATGGAAACCAGTTCTCTAATTTACACATGAAGTAGTATATGTGGTATTGGGGGCTAATTTTATTGTGGGGAATGTTAGGGACAAACTGCCCCAAAAAGCTTCTTGGTACTGCGGACACTGCCCCAAAACCTGTCTGAGCTGCCCACCCCTCCCCCTAATGCTCTGCAACTCTTCTCCTTCCCCCAAGCCTCTTTACATTTCTAAGCCCTTATCTAGGTGCAGCGGTGAAGCCAGCAGACTTCACTTATCACACTTTCCTGCAATAAGCAAACCCCAATTACAAACCATCCAGACTGCACAGGGGGAGGTCGAGCGAAGCATAAACAAACCGTGCCTAAACCCTCCCAAAGACCTCCCTCACACTCCCCTCCTCAATATAAACCCCTCATTCTGTAAGCTTGGTGCTGCCTCCTCTGTCTGTGGTGGAGCAGCCGGCAGGTTAACAAACTTCCGCGCCTCACCTTGGGTTTCCTTCTCATCCTTTCTTTTGGCTGACCTTACAGGGAAGGCCACAGAACCAGTGTGGAAACTACACATCCAGGAACAGAATCCACAGCCCATCCTGGATCAGGTCCCTCCTGGGAACAACTGCCCCTGCTGCTGAGCACAGATGCCACTGCTCACACCTCTGACACCCTGGTGCTGGACACTGGATCCTGAGGCCAGGAGAGATGTCACTGCTGCACCTGGAAACTGGACATCACTACTCCCATTCAACCACTTCTACTAAAATACTTTCTGCACAGTCCCAGCCTCTGTGTCACCTCTTTCTGGCTCAGAGTCTGGCAGTGATATAGGAGTTGAGAAGAAATTATTTCGGCAGATAGTGAGGGTATGGAAGTCCTCAGTAAGGTTTTTTTAAATGAAATGCAGCCCCCAAATCATTTCCTTTTCTAACAAAGAGCATCCTGTAAAATTACTACATCTAACAAGAGAGATAGACTGCAATACAATTAGGGAGGAGACTTCAACATCCCAACCTCAGCATGAGACTGATCGTCTACACAGAAAATCAAGAAAGAAACATTGGATTTAAACTGAACTTTAGACCAAATAAAGATAACAGATATTTACAGAGCACTTTATTTAACACTACAGAATGTACGCTCTTTTCATGAACACGTGGAACATTTTCCAGGAGAGAGCCTATGTTAAGCCACAAAACAAGTCTCAACAAATAATCAAAAATTGAAATCATATCAAATATCTTCTCTGGCCACAATGGAAAAATACTGGAAATATACACCAAGGGAAAGTTTGGCAACTAGACAAATATATGGAAATTAAACAACATGCTCCTGAATAATCATTGAGTCAACAGAGAAATTCAGATGGAAATCAGAAAGTTTCTTGCAACAAATGAAAATGGAAACACAACATACCAACGTTGTGGGATACAGCTAAACAGGGCTAAAAGGGAAGTTTATGCAATAAATACCTACTTAAGAAAAGTAGAAACATTACAAATTAACAATATAACACTGAACCTCAAGGAACTAGAAAAGCAACAAAGCACATCCAAAATTAGCAGAAAAAGTAATAAAGACCAGAGCACAACTAAATAAAGACTTTTAGAAGCCATGTAAATGATCAACAAAGTGAAAGTTTGTTCTTCAAAAAGACAAACAAAAGTGATAAACTACTAGCTGGACAAACCAAGAAACAGAGAGCAAAGACTCAAAAGAGAAATATTACAACTGATACTGCAAAAATACAAAAAGATCATCAGAGACTTTTATGAACAATTGTGTACTGACAATCTGGAAAACCTGGAGGATATGGATAAATTCCTGGAAACATATAACCTAGCAAGACTAAATTAAGAAGAATAGAAAACCTGAAGCCCTAACATCTGTGAACCGTTCAGCGGGTCCAGTGGGCCCCTGACCACACTGTGATGATTTCCTCAGCGCTGGTTTGCATAATTGAAATAGACCTACTCAGCCATGGGCAGAATCCGCAGATCAGCTCTTTTTATTTTTAACTTTTATTTTCAGTTCAATGGTACAAGTGTAGGCTGTTTTATAGGTGAACTTGTGTTCTTGGAGTTTGTTGCACAGATTATTTAATCACTCAGGTTTTAAGCCTAGTACCCATTGGTTATTTTTCCTGATCCTCTCCCTCCTCCTACTTTCCATCTTCTGAAAGAACCCTGTGTGTGCTGTTCCCCTCTGAGTCTCTATGTGTTCTCATCATTTAGCTTCCACTTAGAAGTGAGAACATGCAGTATTTGGTTTTCTGTTCCTGCATTAGTTTGCTAAGGATAATGGCTTCCAGCTCCATCCATGTCCTTGCAAAGGACATGATCTTGTTCCTTTTACTGGCTGCGTAGTATTACATGGTATGTATCTATCACATTGCCTTTATCCAGTCTATCATTGATGGACATTTAAGTTGATTCCGTATCTTTTCTATTGTGAATGTTGCTGCAATGAACATATGTGCCTATGTCTTTACAATAGAATGATTTATTTTCTTTTGGGTATAATGGTATTTCTGCCTTAAGGCCTTTGAGAAATCACTGCACAATGGCT